CTAATGTTTACTATCCGCTTTGCATTTAAAGATGCCACAAGTATTCGGAGTTTGACAGCACCAAAATCAGTAACAACTTTTATTATCAAGATGTACCAACCCGGCCAAATCAAACATCGAAAACTAAGAGGTTTGAAGATATATTTGATAAGCTATTGATGTATCGAGAAGTGTTGAATCTAAGCTGGCTATAGATTGTGGAGGATTTGAAGCACGGCATACCCATCCTTGAACAGTTGCGGATACGTAGCTAGGAGGTTTCAACTAGATGAGTCTACAAAAACTGACGAGGTCAACATCGAAATATCGAGGACTTACAAAGCTATTGACATTAGGTATTTATTTACGGCCACACATTTAATGTGATCTCATACGGCAAACCAAGACTCGACATTTCTATTGCATGTAAGTCATCTTAATTCCATTTGCGGCTTATTAACTTGCATTTCGGGTTTGAGAAACATCGAAACGTCGTCTAAAATTCTTGACGAAACTAACTATAATCTTCGTATACGTTTGCATTTACGCATCCAACTCTTACATTATCATTACCCAAACTAACGTTCACATCAACTAGCAATATAAAGTATTTCTCTGTGACATTTGAGCACATCCGAACTTATGCATATGTTCTACTTCAACGTCGTACTTTCTGCGTTTTATGAAGTATCTTTTCCTCGTGGCTGTAATCTATCAAATCAGTCCAACACATAAATCAGATTTTCACATACTCGACGATATAATAACTGTCCTGTTCAACTGGCGGTCTGACGGCACAATCATTCGCACGAATCATCAGTTTATACAGTCAAGCAAGTTTCTACACCACCACTGACAGCGTTTGTATCAATATTGTTGACATGAGTCTGGAGTGACAGCCCTGTTTTCTTATGTTCTCTTATGTTTCCTTGTGTTCTCCTTTACTTATTATAACGAAAATCATCAGCACTCAAAGCTCTGACGAAAAGTTGATCGATGACTTCATGATTACACTTCTGCACTTCCAATTAATATGCTAAATATACACATTAATATGGTCTAGTTCATTATTGGTAATACAACAATAATAGAACTATTTCCAAAATGGTGGATTTGTCATGATGTGACTGCCTAAACTATAAGATCTTACACAGAAATCACACCGACTCGTCCTACCGTGACAATCAGCAATATGACTTTTAGCATTTTCGAAGAGCACATATGTCCTGGTAATAGGGTAGCATATTGGATAAAAAGAGAAAAATGTTATAAACATTGACCACGCCTGCATGGTCGAGCCATGCCAATTCGATTCCTTTCTCTCAAGTTACCACTGTCGGTTTTCTCTAAGTGTTACATGTTAAGTGTTAAATCCTCAGTGATTATACACTCAGCTCTGAGGATCGTGTGGTTGGGAATAAAAGTCATTACACTGTAGCGTGGGGTCGAGTCCCAGTTGACTATGAACACCACTACAAAGGAATGCGTGCCAAATAAATCCATAAAATCCCACGGAAGCTAAATATCAGAAGGCAGTTAATGGACCAAGTCGAGATATATTTGCTGGCGATCTCGTGGTATCGAAAGGACACCGAGATCGTGCCAAGATACAAGCTTGGTTACAGAATGTAACCGAATTCGCGTGAGGTCACAATCAAAGTGTGTATAATGTATGTTTTTAGCAGAGTTAAACAAAGAGCACATTGAAACGGTCACTGGCACAATTGGTTATAATAATAATTGTTTTCATTAAACCAATCGTGTTCTCGTGATATAAGTGAGTCTTTACAACATCCTCTCTCTCTCTCTCCAGAATTGACGTAATTCTGGTTCGATACCAAATCAAGTGGGATTGTCGCTCTCCAGAGGTTACCGAAAGTATATTAGGAGTCCTCCAGGCATTATTAAACTGAAAAGTAAGTCAGAAGTAGGGCGGCAGCAATTTCAGAATGTCTGGTTTCATTGTTAATACACTTAAAATGAGAGGTAAACAAAGTGAATTACAATAAAGAAGAATGATTAAGTATAGAGATATTTTACCAATGTACATCACCAGTGTAGATGATCTATGTCGAAAATGATTGGAGGCCTACTCGAGTTGGACGTGAATGATGTGACAAACTAGCCAATATCGAAGTCACACCTCATAGTCGGCACCATACGTGGACTACCCCGTTGACGTATCAAGGTACCACAGATGCTTTGAAGACTGTACAACACAGTGGACATCATTACAGAAATATATTAGTTAAAGTAGAAACAAGCGAAAGCAAGACCACTGCCGCATGGGCCAGTCCATGGCATATGACTAACTGATACGCGTTGGTTGTCCCCGACCTTGACGAGGATCGACGATTTGCTCGATATTCAATGACCCAAATGCCGGATGATTTGGCTAGGGCTTAGTGACATTTTGCTGGCCCTACACCAAGTTAATTAAACTGCATAGAAATAATCGTTAGTTATTGGCTTAACTTATGGGTAGTATGAGTACTTTGTGCTTAAAAACAAAAACGTAATCAATGTTGTAAAGATTCTGATAATAGTATTATCTTTGGTTTAGACTAGAAAGTTGATTTTAATGTCGGCATTCTGTCCGTAGTTATTAATTTCCAATTTCATTTTTATTATTAGGCTAGATGAAGTAACAGGAGTATAACCATGAAGAGGAAAAATTCGATCTAGTGTCCTAGTTGGTTTGCTCACTTTAATTCGTTTATTTAGTTACGGGGAGATTTATCCAATTTTCATAAAGCCTGTGACAAAGTTCAGTAATAAAACTAATACATCCCAATTGTTATTCAAAATATTTTAAAACGTAAGGGGTGTTAATTATATGGATTTTGGTCAGATAGCTAACGGTAGTTCGTCAAACGCGAGTGCAACCGTGAGTAAAATACTCTGATTTGCAATAGACCAAGTATTTATATTCATACATACTTATTGATGGTGTATGCAAGTCAGTTGCAAGTATCAAGATTGAGATAGCATAGAGATCTTTGTCTATGAATGTGAGCACTTATAAGGCAGTGAAATCAAATAAGCTTATGTGCCACAAATATATGTGACTTATTGTTGTACGACGCTTTCGGATGAAAAAATCTTTACATGATAAAAATAAGTGCTGTCTATATGATTATGAGGGAGAAAATAAGTTGTAACATATGTATAGATATAATTTGACATTTCAACGATACAGACTAACTCTCTTCTATAAATCAATGTTAATACAAACATCTGCACCAATTAATAACACACTTTTAGTACTATCAATATAGTATCCTCACACTTGCAGAGGACTGAAGATTGCTTATCTGAGAAACTCAATCACTTAACAATGCAATTTATTTCAAAAAGGCTTGAGGGAACTTGAAAATATCATAGCTTTTTATTGTCATCGTTAACTGCCTAACATTAACCCAACCTGAAAGTCATACATTTTAGCACATCAACAAATCTAACATTCCCAGATTTATCATTACTTGCTATTTCCTGACTAGTGGCTGCCGTTTTTTTCCATCGGTCTTACATCTCAGCAATGATCAGAGTATTCCTATCCATCGTTCGACAACCTATGGAAAGCGACTGCCTCTGACGAGTATAGTGTCGATTCAAATGGCCGTCCAATTCAGTGATAGAGTATTGTAGAGGCAGTGAGATGTCTCTGGGCCCTAGCTAAATCAATCTGTAGACGGGTCACTGAGTATCGAACAGTCCACCACTCAAGATCAAGGACGACCAAGGAGCATTAGTTAATTGCATACCATGGACTGACCCACGAGGTGATCGCACTTTGTTGCTTGTAGCTACCCTTAATATATTTATGTAATGACGTCATTCGTGTTGTACAGTCATCAAAGCAGCCACAGCGCCGGGATACAACGAAAGGATAATCTACGTCGGATACTAACCACGAGGTGTGACTTCAGTGTTAGGTGGTTGGTAACACGACCGTCATCTAACTCGAGTGGACTCCAAACATTTGATACAGATCGTCTACGTCAATGGTCTGCAAGACTAGCATTATGAATGCATCCTAAACTTATTCTTTTTCATTTCCATCGTTGCTTAAGTTTGTCAATTACTGAGAACACTTATTGTCTTATCTCAATGTTGAGTAGTATTCGATTTCGACTAAGTCGGTCAGCTGATCGAAATAACTATTCAACTACGATTATAAAGGTATACCATTGTAATTTAACAAGCATCAGTAGCATGTTAGTGTCCCTGTATGATATAGCTTTTAAAACACCAACTCCTCGTAAGTATAGCTGCAATGTACTGCAAACACATATGTCTGTAGCATATGTAGGCAAAAATCGATCAGCTGTCGAATATAATTTCATCGTCTGCCTTAATCAATTCATACACAGTTTAACGTCAGGAATTATCACCTAGAATGTTTTTTCCTTACGTGATCACTGCCAGCCTAATTTCCATTTGCAGATATCCATGGTCAAGTAGAAAATACAAATACCAGAAATTTACGGTGTTTGGACTATAAATTTACTGCAACTTTAGATTTTGCTTGGATTGTTTGTTCAGTCGATGCTACGTATCTACATAAGCTATTTCTAGACCTATACAAATCCAGTCTGCAACACTGCATTAGACTAAGAATTAGATCGACAATATTTCGTATATGATCCAAATTCTCTTAGATTCAAATCTTCAATATATAGGCGTGAGTGAGAAAATTAACAAACTCCATACACATTTTCAATTTGAAAATTCAATCGAATGGACAACAGGTTTTAAGTTTAGTCTCTTGTTAGCAATTCTTAAGGAAATGAAAAATGATCATGTCATCAACGAAGATATATACCAAGAGGACCAATAATACCACGAAGGCTTGCTTATAATACACAAACCCAGACTACTTTTGACGTTTTTGTTGGTCGAATTCATGTTCTAAAATTACCTATTTAGCCTCAAATTTTAATGGGTCTATATGAACACCAGACGCCATAGAAAAAGCTATCGTTATACGACCGTTTAAACAGAAAAAGATGACAGCAATACACAGTTACTTTAATACTTTATTTGAATAAATACAATGTACTCGTTACAATAGCGATGGTAAACCAAAAAGTCATTTCCTAAAACAGTAATATATATTTTGAAATTATGAAAACGTTACAAGATTCATTTATGTCCTATATATCATGAAACCTTGGGTAACTTAGCATAAAAATTATTTACATACAACTGGAGAACATAGATTTTTACGTTTAATGTAATCAAGAATGTAAACGAAGAAAAAGATCAGCTACAAACCATGCTGTATGACATTTGTATTCACAGTTAATTAACCTAAAAAATGAAACGAAATTAAAATCAAAGATAATCAATGAATATATAGACTTGTTAATAAAAAAAATAAAAAGCAAGAGGTTTGCTAATGATTTCATTTCTTATTTGTGTAAAGATGAAGTGTAAATATTTCATATATATATCTGTAAACGTTATCAAACGTATCGCAGTAATATTGATCAACGTCGCAGTTAACAGAATGAGACGAATCACCTACCAGTAAAACGACTTCTAGGCCATCCATATGAAGATATATTGTCTATAAATGTCCAACTTCAAACAAAACAGATTGATTAACTGGTCGATGAAAGTCAACTTGAGCTTATTCTTCGCGCTATTTTTACAGAAATATTACTGCAGCAGAATGAAATCAAAAGTACAAGTACTTATAAACTATTGCCTATGCAAGATACTCAACGTCCTTTGGTCGGATACCGACAGCAACAGCCTACTGTGAGAGTAAACAAACCAGCTTCCAGCTCAAGAGGATATCAGGAAAATACGATGGAGGTGGATAGGACATACATTACGGAAATCACCAAACTGCATCACGAGGCAAGAGCTAACTTGAAATCCTGAATGGAAATGGAAAAGAGGAAGACCAAAGAACACACTGTGTCGATAATTGGAAGTAGACGTGAAAAGGATGAGTAGCAACTGGAAAGGATTGTCCAGAACAGAGTTGTATGCAGGATCCTGACGGGTGGCCTATACTCCTCTACGAAGCGTAACATGCGTAAGTGATTAAGTAGAAATAAACTCAGCAACTGGCGATGCCACCCTTACAACCCAGAAAAAATGAGTATATCGCAGAATCATGCTTCCATAAATTAACAAAAGTATGTTTGATACTATTAAGACAAATCTGTGTTTCAAAGAAGCATTAAAATATTATTCAATAATGAACTAATCGAACGCAATAACAAACAATAAAACGCGCATAAAGAAATAAAACAAGGTGAGTTAAAATAAACTGAAAATAAACCATGCAGCAAAACACTCTAAAAGACATTATTGTGAAAAAAGTTGAAAATAGTTCTTACTTAGATAATTTATCTGACAAAACTGTTAATTGATGCAGTTCAGCAGGTGTTATTGAAGATTTCAAAGATTCTATACTTTCTTTGTGTTGTGATTCAGACTCATTCGAATCATTGAGAGATGCACTAGACGATGATTCGTTGTATTCATTCAACTTAGCCTGATGTTGCAGGATAAGAGATTCAATACGGTAACGTTGTTCAATTAGACGACTGAAAAGGGGAAACATATATACAACTATCACAAGTACAGATATCTGACAATGATTTCAACTTATAGGATCATCAATTTGACAGACAAGTCATCGATATCAAGGTTTGAGTAATAGAGATAACAATTTTTAAGAATTGTAAGTATAGGGTTGTGGAGATTGTTGGAGTTTCATTGAGACCATGAATCGATCAATGTTTGGCCACCAACAAAAGCCTGGAAGCACTGGATGACCGTTTCGTACTACTATGAGACTTCTCAGCAGTGCGCATTCACGACCATGCACACGGAATTTAAACCTAGGACCTCCGTTCTCGCGCACAAACACTTGACCTCTACACCACTGAGTCGAGATCCAACGGTATTAACGTTTAAGGTCTATATATATAACTACAAGAACTTCAGATTCTTTTAGATGAAGATATTATCAATGACTGAAAATTAGATGTGACAACAATAAGTAATATCATATTACACGCTTTAAAAATCAACACAACAAAGCAAATTAAATAGCATACCTTTTCTGTGAAAATTCATAATCACGACGCAAAGAGATACGAAAAACCTCATGTTGTGAAAGTTCAATTACCAATCGAGCAACTTGCAACAAATTGATGGAATACAAACAAAAGATAGTGTCTGCTGTGTATTCCTTTGTTCGCGATAGTTCCTAATATATTTATAGATTAATAGAAGAGGAATATATATATATAACTATTGAATTGCCTTTAAAAATGATTTCCTTCAAGAACAAAAACGAACTATTCAGCAAGTTACGCAGCTAAACAACATCAAATCTCGAAGTGAGAACAATATATCAAGGCCACGAAACTAGATTTTAATAATTTGTATTTATAAATCAAGTCAATTTATGCTATAATACAGAAGCAACCTAATTAAAACTAAAGTTTCATAATATTTGAAGTTTATTTCCCTAAATTGACTAATTATGTAGCAACGGAATTAATGTTAACCAGTTTTTATCTGCTTTAGAGATTTTCTATAACGAATTCAACTATCTCCCTAGTTTTATAATTTACTTCATGAACTGACCTTAGTCAGAAAACTATTGAAGACTGTGAAGCACTGGACAGTTTGTTTCTCTTTAGTCCCAACGGCTGCAGCCTACATTTTATCATTGATTTTTCGTTATTCCAATACACAACACTTTTTTATCGTAATTCCAAAGACATTGTAAAGATATATGTAATAATCGTTAGACTAATCGACGTCTTGAAGGATCTGTAATAAAGCTTATACGAACGATTCGGCCATTAAAACAATATGGATGTTATCCAGACCAAATTACAGCACATAAAAAAACATCATTTTCAACTTCATTTTCAGTAATTATGAGAAGCCCTAAACAGGACAAAGCGATCACCTGCTCCGTCTACGTCTACATGAACATCAGCTAGTAGTTAAATGCCAAGAAATAACTTCTTTCAAACCAATACATATGGACAACCATGAACATGATTTCAATTGAGAAAATGTTAAGATACTGGACAGAAGGCACAAAGAAAGCTAGTGAATTCTTAGAAGCATGACACTCTGGTAACAGATCAATCAATAGACACTGAAATTAACCTAATCCACCAAATAGTCAGGAAAAGGATAAACAACCCCAAGGTTATAGGTGAAAACAATCAAAACAACCATGTGGATAACGCCCACGCACACGCATGGGTAACAACCAAACAAATTCTTCTCGGTCAACAGAACAAGGAGATAGTCAATATTGTGGAGAAATTCTAACAATTCATTTCTTATTGACGTCTGTAGTGATGATATTGTCGGCAAAGATAATGTAAACTTCATAATCAAACCATCCAGCTTACAGAATGAAACACCCTGGAAATCATTATCCTGAGCCATAAACATTTTCCACAATCTCAATATTAGTAAAACTATTGGTAACATATATGCATAAGTCAATATGTAAATGACAACTTACAGTTGTTGTAATAAGTCCCATAGATACCATACGTGGTAGTATTCGTCGGAAATCACTTTGGGGAAGCAATACTTTTCGTTCAACCTATAGAGAACACAATGAAAATGATTTAGCAAAAGAAAAAATGATGGCAAGAAAGGAAATTCAACACTTATTTGTATAATTAAGAAGAAGTTAACTATAAAAGAACAAGCGATATGTAGAGATAATTTCTAGAAGTCTAAAATAAAGAGTAAGAAATGAAAATAAATCTAACAATAATAATAATAATAACGATAATATGATATCTGCTTATAATACTTGTGACTTAAAGGGATATTGAGGCAATCCGCATAGGATGCACATATACCAATAAGAGACTGGTCAGTTGTAGTCCTAAACATCAATGCGAAGATTCAAACAACCAATACAAAAATGAAATAATATGATTAATTTGGAAAGTAGATAACATTAAGTGAAAACACTTTACAAAACAAAATCTAAATGAAGCTTTATGCCAATTAATTGCAATGTGGTCGATGAATCAAGAAACTGTTCTCTTTCATACAACTGTGATAATGCTCATAGTAATTTGGCCATTTAGAAATGTGATGATCAAAACAGCGAAACTACTACTTTCCTTTCAACATCATGGCAGTCAATTTATACCAGAATGAAAATATCTCGTTTAAAATAGTCAATTATAAAAAAATAAACATAAATTAAATGATCATTTGATAGTAATTAGTGTCATGTTAACGATACTTTAATGCTGATCGAAATTCATTGATCTAACAAAGCATATTTCATTTTCCAATAATTGAAAGAGTTTAATAAAACGTAAACCCAGTTGAAATATTATTATTTCAGGGTGTTTCGGTTGTGTTACCGATAAAATGTACCTAGTAGTACGTAACTTTATTTAATTTAATGCATTTCGGTAATTATTTAGAAATTCAAGTACTCCACTTTAATCCATACAACAGTGTCCACAGAGACATTGTTTGAAAAAAGTGAATGTTATTTCGCTGTGTGCTATTTAAACGAAAACGAACTCTAATAATGATATTTTGATGCTTCTATAAAAACAACATAACCCTTATTACACTATGGATAAATTTATGTAAAAATTGTTGTCCATAAAAAGGGGTTTAACCAATAAACCGAACATTAGATATTTCAAAACGATAATAATCGACCACAATCCATCAAAGTAAGCATAAACAAGATATTTTATGAATGTGTGATTATTTTATGAAAAAGGATCATCACCAAAATAAGGTAGTTTACTACGAACGAAAACAAAATGAAAATATCTACTCATATCGAAACTACTGAAAAGTTGAGCATCAAAACTAGTATTCATTCACCTCTTCTAAATTTGAAGGTCCAGAAAGCAGAAGAAATCGGAAAATACGTAACCCATTACTTTCAAAGCTAAGTTTCAAAATAAAAACGGAAAATAAATGTTAATTTATAGTAAGCCAATAGCCAGTTATAGATAACGTAAGACCTTTTATCATGAGTGATAGACAAGAATAAAATATACTGGATTGAGCACATACATGAACTCATCAGCCCTTGGGGTCTGGTGTGTGACGAAATCTCAGCAGGGATGCAGAAGGCTCGACTAGCTTTTACCAACTTGCGTCATTTATGACGTAGGCGAGATATCCGTCTATCAACCAAAGGACGTGTTCACTGCGCAGCAGTTCATTCCGTCCTACTTTATGGCAGTGAAACATGACCGGTAAGAGTAGAGGATATTCGTAGGTTACTAGTATTTGATCATATGTGTCTTCGAAACATTGCTCGTATATCATGGGACCATCGAGTAAGTAACACAGTTGTTAGGAAACGGGTACTAGGTAAGGATGGCAAATCGATTGATGAAGTGGGGAAACTTCATCAGTTGAGATGGCTGGGACACGTGTTACGTATGCCCAACCACCGACTACCTCGACGTGCTATGTTCAGTGGTATAGGAGTAGGTTGGAAGAAAGCTAGGGGCGGCCAAACCAAAACATGGCACAAGTCCATAAAGTCACTGACAAGTGGACTGAGTCATGTTGGTAGGTGTAGACTACCTGGTTGGGGACCGCGAGATGATAGTAACCGATGGTTAGAGAACCTGAACGACATGGCTCAAAATGGTTTGCAATGGCGCAGGTGCATCCATTCTTTATGTTCTCCCAAATTCTAATCTTCTGATTTCTTCATGTCCTTTTTTTTTCTCTTTCAAAATTTATTTCACTGGATTATACTCTTTAAATAACATCTCCAAACACTAATTTTTCTGATTACTGCTTATACTCTTACTGTCTATACCACTACGGGATTTGAATCAACCACTGCATCTCTGTGCTAATGTGGTGTGGCAACTCGAACTGATGTACGTACGTACGAAGTTCTACGTTGTTACTGACTGACTGACTGCACATACATGAATCATAGTTATAATAACACAAATGATATATTCACTAGAGTCCTATAGACATGCTTCGACAACCCAAGTGACTAAATAAAAATCAACATTTGAAACTGATGGTGAGTCGGTTCAAAAAATCTCGAATTTGACAAGAAACTATGATTCAGTATTATTTCAATGTTCAGTGAGTAATAATTAAAAAGGATTGAAATTTAACAAAACTTAACTTCAAAAACTATACTAAGTTGATTATACATGTTAGTGTCATTCAAAGATGTAATTTAACATTTTAAGTAACATATACCTAGACGCTATTATTATTATTATTATTATTATTATTATTATTATTATGAACTTCAGTAATAAATGTAATATTTTATATATTCGGTTTCCAAATACTTTCTGATAAGTTGATCTATACGATTTAGCTACTCACATTAAATCGTAAACAACAAATCAAAACTATATATAACTCATTATAAGCAAAGATGGATAGTGGCTAGCAGTGGAATCCAGGACGCGCGTTTCATCCTGTCTGGAACTCGTCAGCTGGATTTACCTGCATCTGAGAGTTGATGTCCACTCTGGGACTCGAACTCAGTACCGTTCGCTTCAAACGCCATCGCGTTATCCACTTAGCTACTGAGTCCTGACAGCCACTTGCTTGTGTAATGGGGTGAAGTTTAATTCACTTGGTATTGTTTTAAACTTCACCCCATTGCACAAGCAAGTGGCTATCAGGACTCAGTAGCTAAGTGGATAACGCGATGGCGTTTGAAGCGAACGGTACTGAGTTCGAGTCCCAGAGTGGACATCAACTCTCAGATGCAGGTAAATCCAGCTGACGAGTTCCAGACAGGATGAAACGCGCGTCCTGGATTCCACTGCTAGCCACTATCCATCTTTGCTTATAATGCTTGTAAATTAAGGCAATATCGAGGCATACGCACAGTATGCACATATGCTAATAAGAGACTGATCAGTTTCAGTCGTAAAACATCAATGGGAAGATTGAAGTAAAACAATACCAAGTGAATTATATATAACTCAGTTGAAAAATGGACGTAGTGGTGCAGCAGTATTATTTTATTATTATTTATTTAAACACATAAACATTGGTACAAGGAGGCACCAAATACTTATGCGCCACATAAATCATACGATTTGTGTGAGGGCTGGAATACTGCCCGGGTGCCCAGACCGAAGCAGGTGGTTTTCTTAGGGAGCCACACCCGGAGCCTTTGACCTAAAAGTCTGACCCACAAGGCAGTAGAGTATCGTGAGGAGATGCAGTCCCGTGGTAGCCCGTGACCAACGATTGATTCATATGCCATTTGTTCCCTCAGGATACGGGAGCCCATGTGCACCATTGGTTTGGAATCCGGTTAAAGCGCCGGACATTCGCTTTCCGTCCTCTTAATTTTGTAAACAACAGTAATGCCACGAGAAGACATTGAGTAGGACTTCCCTGGCAGAGGTTGTATACGCGTGGCCGTGTGAGAGCATTTCGAGAGGGAGGGCGGGCCCACCCCACTCTCGGTCATGCCAGGGCATTTGAGTGCAGCAGTGCTCATATTTCTTTAAATTTTGAGTCTAAGTATTATTTTATATATCCTTGATTTTTTGGTTTCATTCTTTCTTTTCAAAAGGTATTCTCTGTGCTTGATTTTTCTACTATTACGGATTCCCTTGGCTTTCATTTTGTTAATTGCCTGTCACTATGATAGTGCGAATTTGATATTCCTTCATCTCAGCTGAAGGCAAAGAAAATTTTTTGTGAGGGGAAGTGAGTATAATTATTATATCACATGTATGTACTCATATACGGTCTCAAATTAAAACGGCAGGTGATTTACTACAAAAATGGCGGAATTTGAAAAGGCAACTAGTGAAGTTTTCGACCAGAAAATTCGTGAATTGGTTGAAGTTAAACATTAACACCGTTGGATGCCGGCTCATTAGTTTGGAGTTTAGGCGTTTGCGCGCGAGACCAAAGGTCCTGAATTGGAATCCCGTGCGAGAGATCATGGATGGGCACTGCCAAGGAGTACCATATAAAAACGGAACTCCCGTCCGCCGCTTATAGGTTCTCAATGGTGGTCTAACATCGATCGATTCATGATCTCAATCAAAAACCATAAAAGTATTGAAAAATAAGAAAACTTACAGGACTTGTATGATATACTCCACATTTTTGATAAATAGTTGTTTAATGACATATTTATAAGCTGATATTATTAAATGTTAAGGAAATTATTACAATAATATAAATGACAAAACTAAACATTTCACTGTATATTGAATGATAGATAATGCTTAAAATCTGTTGTCTTTTTACATCTTTGAGTGAATATTTCACTACTGACATTCGTAGTATATTTTTGTTTCTTTCTATGAAATGAACATTTTTCACTGATTGGAAAAGATAACTGTAAACAAAACTTATGCACTAAAAATAACTATCGTTTCGATGTAGAGAAAACAAATGTATACTGAAAATATCAGAGTGATAAATTAATTTCTCAACCATGGATCAAGTAAGAATATTTAGCTGAAATGTTACTACTGATTAACTTGTAATAAGTTTGAAAAGTCATGACATCAAAGGAATGAATTAAACTTGACAACAACTAGAAAGGAGAGCTTAGAACAAAGTTGGTTGAAGAATCCTGGTCAAATACCTCAAGAGCGATAAATAAAGTAATAAAAGTTAAAAAACTTATCCAACATGAAGTACAAATAATGCTATTTCTACTTTCTCTAGTTGGAGACCACGTAATTAATATAACCAACAGTTGGAAATATTCTCGAAAATAGTTGCTAACTAGTGAATGCTTTCATCATTTGTCTTCTCTTCGATCATAAAGTTTAGGAAAATGATTTTATACGTTTTTATCTGACAAAAATGCATTCCTTTTACTATTCCACTACTTTAGTAATAATCTTGATTATTTCACCTCAATGTAGATGACGTGGTTGTGAAACTCTAAAATGGTAAGTATTCTCAATTGGTGTTGAAACATCAAAGACCAAAAAAGGAATACGACATGTGTACATGTAACCAGCTAATCCAGGTTGTTGTAAAAGGAATTTTACCTACAAAAAAAAGGAAATCTTTAGAAATGAATAAATAAATAATAACTATGCAGTTATCAAAATATAAGGATAAGACATTGATTAAAACACTTCTTGATGAATAAATGAAACAATTACAAGTTATTTATACTTTTTATCTAATTTACAACTTTTAAAGCAAGTGAATACATAAGTAAAAGTTATACCGAATTTTAGATGATTCTATCATATTGATTACTGACTGATCTCGTACTAATTGTTGAGCACATAAATCCTGAAGATGAAATATATCAATCGATATGATGTTATTTATAAAGACAGTAAGAAATTTATGAATAAATCACTCTGTGGAGTCTTAGAGAGGTGAATATTTAACATTGGGTTCGAGCCTGTCATTGTCTGAGACTTATTTACTGAGTCCATTAGAGTGCGAGCAGATTACTTTACGATTGAGATATTTACACTGATTGCTAAAAATCAATAAACTCACTCATATGTAAAACTATTTTTTAGAGAGTCAGCCATAGTTCGGACGATTAATTATTAATGTAGGTTTAAGTCCTTAAAATACCAAAGAAAGCTCTAAGCTGACAGATATGTCTTAGTGATTAAGTCCCAAAGGCTCTCGACTATATTGCCAAAGACAGAAAACACTAAGAAAATTTTACGAGATAATACAAATCTCTCTATAGACGTTGAGGTTATGGGGCCTATACAGCACCATGAAGTAGCAAACTTTATACGTTCAAACAACGTGGAGGAAAAATAACCCTGAAGTATTCAAAGAAAATGAAAAAGGTGACGGTAGATATTTGAAAATTTTTGTGGATTGAGTGAAGAGTATAACAATTCACGTTTCACTGAATCCGAAAGCTAAATAATTGTGTTGATTATGGATTTTAATTTTGTGCACGATTAGCTTGAAGTACTATAAATTCACTTAGCGTGCAAAAAACACTGATAATTAAAATGCTTACATTTAATACTAGCAAAAAAGCATACCATAATTACCTCATCATCTATCAGTAAGGATATATACGAGGATATATGATCCGGTACAATTCGCATACTTCGCAAAAGCTGTCGTAATAAATAAGCAAATTACAGAAAAGTTAAAGAGAAGGGCAAATCATTATTTATGATGAATAAAACTACCGCATATTTATCACGCTGTTATCAAGGATAGGAGGATTATGTTGAAAAACGGATTATGTTGAACAGACCTCAAGACATGGTTTCAGTTCATAAATTCATTTGATTGTTGGTTTCAGTTATATAAAGTGATGTCGTTTCTTAAAGATAGCTATTATTTGATATATCCACATTAATTATGTCTTAACTAACAGATTTTTCTTTACAGTTGTCTTCATCAGTCTTGTATTTAAATTTGATTAAGTGATTAAGGAAAAACTAAAAAGCTTCCCTGAAGCCCAACGATTTCCAGTATATAACACCGGATGTTCCCTTAACCAATCACAAGTGGATCAATACTTTTCCAAAATCAACTACAAATTTATTTATGAATTTCATTGTACTTGAAGCAGCAAGTGAGTAGGAAAGACTGACAGAAGCACATTTACAAGGTTTATGAACATATTCCTCGAAAGCTGTGTTTTAAACAAGTAAACTGTCTACAAGTGCGATCACTAGGCATTTAATGGACAGTAGATATAACGTAGGTCCCCCTAATCCTAAGAGGCAACAAACATCGCCTTTACTTTGCTTTCCAAAGGCCATTACTATTAAGCGCTTTCCATTTGACAATCGTATAAATAAAATATGCTAAACCTCTTGTTTCCATAGTAAAACAATTACATTGTTCCAACAGTTGTCAACTACATAATCTTATCTTATTTTGTTTTACCATATATTGTAAAAATTTCCATTGACATTTATGACTCGGTTTGATTATCATTTAGTTGTTAAAAAATGTCTTTTTTCATTATCTCATTATTTTGATGCCATCCACTTTCTTATATGACTAACTTTACTTTTAACATGTAAATACTGAACAATTTTAACTATTGTATTACCCATGTTTTTGTTCTTCTTGTCTGTTTTCCTCTGTTTCGTTTTGAACTCAACTTCCCTGATTAATGTGTAGGTATAACTGTAACTATGGGTAGTTTGAAGCGAATGAGAAACCTTGAAATGAATCCATGTTATTCTGTGAACCTTCTCAGTTTGTTTAAATTTATTAAGCGATCAGTATCTATGAAATTTTTCACAATGTTATCCTTTTCTTAAAGTAAGAATTGTGGCGTATTCTATATCATTGAGTGCTTTGAACCTAAGATTCTTATCAAATATTACATATGGTAAATACTATTGTTAGACTAAAATGACATGGTAATCACTTTAACTGAAACAAAATATATGCAAAATAGAATTTATTCATTTGGAAAATTTAATATGAGGCGAGTAAAACAACACAAAGAAACCCCTTGCATGAAATCTTCAAGGACAAAAGAAAAGAGGAAGACCAAAGAACACATTACACCGAGAAATGGAGACAGACAGACGTGAGAAGAATGAAAAACAATCGGATAGAACTAGAAAGAAAGGCCCAAGACAGAGTGGGTTGGAGAATGCTGGTCAGCGGCCTATGCTCCATTGGAAGTAACAGGCGTAAGTAAATAAAATAATTGAATCATAATTATGAAAAAAATTGTGATTTTGTTATGGTATTTACTATTTCAATAAAGGATAAGATGAACCACAAATGGTAAAAAGTGAGTAAAATTTCATTATTCAATTCAATACTTCAAATATTACTGTTTACACATGAAAGAATCAAATTCAGGAAACTGTATATACATATAAGAAACTATAGAATAAATTATATCATTTATTGTTAATGATCCATACTATGAAAAAAGTGAAATATGTAGACCAACCTCTGAACGTGAAACGGCTCCTGACTCTGTAGAGGTGATTCCTGTGCCCCTATTAGCAGCTGTAGCAATACATAATAAATGTGAAAGAATATCACCGCATATCTAAATCAGAAAAGAAAAGATGATCTATAAGTACTTTACCCCCCTCCCCAAAGAAAAGAGGGAAGATTCAACAGATGTACTAGCAGAATAAAATGAACAAGAAAGAGCTTACTTCACCAAGTTTTTCACTTGCCAGCTGACATATCAATCGATCTCTCCACATTGTCTCTAATGTTTTAATATTTGGACAGACCACCAATTTAAGAGATTTCACTAACTGAAGTTAAGAAAATTAAAACAAGACATCATTTTATTTTTTAAAGATTAGCTAAAATGATTGATTAAAAGATAATAATTGAAAGGGTTTGTGGAGATCAATGCAGTTTGCAGGTTGTGTGTATGAGGAAAATTTATCTCAGTTGGGGGAAATTTTGAAAACCAGGAATTAATGGAATGGTAGATGTTCTGGGTTAGATTCCTGGTGACGTCACTAGTGCACAATGCTGAGTACTCACATACTAAGACGAAGCAGTAGTTTATTATCTCCTGGTTTCTAAAGGTGTTCTGATGGCGATAAATCTGTAATAAATACAACTTGCAAATAAAAACACTAACTAATATATGTAACAGGTTCATGGTCAATAAATAAATTTTTTTGCGAAATCCCCTAGCAGTCTTGTCCAATACCCAATTTCTGTTGTCGAAATTTTCACAAATATACTTCTTTGTTTAATGCCTTCCATACAAATTCCCAATCTAAAATTATTTACAGAATCTTTTTATGAATAAATAAACCAATCAGGAAGAGTATCACATGACAATGTTATTCATAAAGTCATTGTTCACTCATCAGGTATTAACCGATAACGATTAGTGATTTCCATCAGTTTTCCAGGTAACAGTATATTAGATTACCTTTTTCAAACAAGATTTTAATCGTCCAAGTTCATTTTTTGTCGTAATCAACAGTCTAATCGCGATCAATGAGTGCTTAATTTACACCCTGCTCTATCTACTTCGCTTTGAGAAACCGTGACTGTGAGCAGAGTGAATAAACCTTTACTCAAAGTATGGCCACAATTTACGAATCAATAATCAACTGATCGAATAAATATGAGCCAACTATTCAAAAGTGATTAGATGAAATAATTAGACGACCTATACTCATCACAAGTCGAGATGGCTGACTCACCAAGTACAGCATCCATATTCCAGCCAGGACTACCAATATTAACCAGCTGACAAGGCCTAAGTAGATGGATGGGGTTCAGACATGATACCTAGTGATTGAAGACTGAATACCATAACCATTACTCAGCTGGTGTACAAACAACTTATACTACTTACAACAATGAGTATCTAGGATTAATTTAAAGCATTTAGAGGATCATGTTGAAATCTTATGGAGAAATTAATAAAATCACCTCGGATGATTCATCATAACGTTTTACACGTTTACGCACTGGTTCATTATTTCTTTCATTTGCAATAGGCCAGGTAACAAATCCACTAGAAATGTAATTATGTAATGCTTCTAAATTAAAAATAAATAAATTTTATTTAACAACATTAGTAAGTTTATCACTCACTGTTTATTATTCATTTATTCAAGCACGCAGACATTAGTATAAGTGGGCGCCAAAATATATATGTGCAATACAAAGTAGTTACCATTAAATTTGTGTGCGGCCTTGAATACTGCTCAGATACTCAAGCTGAAGTAGGTGCTTTTCTTGGAGAGTCACTCCCTGAGCCTTTGACCCAGAGGTCTAATCCACGAGACAAGGGAGCAACGTTAGAAACTCTTGATCCATGGTAGCCGGTGACCAACAATAGGTTCATACGCAATTTGTTCCTTCAGGACTATGAAGCCTATGTGTACTATTGATTTGGAATCAGGTTTTTTCCACTCCCGTAGGTGAATCCTCAGTACACACCAACCCGGTTTAAACGCCAGACATCTGAACAGTTAACAGCTGGGAAGTAAGAAAGTATCTCGATAGTCGATATTTAGAAAATATCTCAAGAATGAATAGTTCCATAGCCGAAATAACATGCTTAATACCTGATGTAATGCAGGCTCGTAGTCATGGAAACAACCGTACATGGATTTACTTCCTACCATAGAATTTCGTGAACAGCATGCTGCCGAAACATCGAAAAGATATACTTAATTATTATACAATTGAAGAGACTTTGTATGAAATACATCTGGATTCTCAGACCTACTTTAATCTCAGATGAACAACAAATTGTTACTAAGCAAACCTCTTATGTCGATAATTGGTATTTGAAATTGCTTGTAAATACGATATAAAAACACAGAAAACGTTGGCTGGGAAACAGATATTTTGATTAGTTGATAAAAATAAACTTTTGAAGATAAATCTCTGTATAATCAGCAATATTAAGAAACATCAGTGCATAGATACTAAGCCACGTACCCGGTAATATGAATTAGAAAATAAATAAGTAAAACGAAATTATTGATCTGTATAACAGCTCTTGTAAAAAAAAAAACGAGACGATGTGTAGACAAAAGTCAATTAATATTACTTCTAGCATGGTAAATCGCGCAAGGAAGGCAGGAAGGAAGTGAATTAGGATAGTTCAGGTAACTAACCACATATATCGTCCTTTGGTATTTGCATTTCAGATTCCGAGACATTGACATGTACAGGTGCTTCAGCTGTTCGAGAAGGTACAGTCGATACATCAGTTTCCTTGTTAGATTCAACTGACCACAGCTTCGGATTTACAATTTGCAGGACATTGGTTTTAACAAGAGTAGTCACAGTGGTTCCTAAAGCTTCGACATAGCTGTGTTGTTCTTCTACAGGGACTTTATAAAAGATTAAAAGTACTGAAGAATAGCCGAATTACGTTTACTATGAAGATGCTTTTTAACACAATACACTAACAGGTCACTTAAAGATCCACGCCCAAACATAGAGAAATAAATCATAGTCTGTTCAGCAACCTTGCCATAGTAATGAAACACGAGTTTGCAAAACAATGGAAGTCTAAATGAAGAACAATATCCAAGTCAGTAAACTATTAATATCATCATTACCTTGGCACAAAAAATATTCGTTCATAATTTAAACTGTATTTTAATATCGAATCTTTCTGTATAGTTAACATGGAATGTCTGATAAGTGAAATAAGGCATCTAAAATGCAGTTATTAATAATTATGAGGACAAGAAGACTAACTTGCAAACTCGACTTGAGTGTAACTTTTTGTGAGAATCCCTTAAAATTTCCGACAAACTTGATGAACCTTTAACACACAGAATATGTGTGCTTACTGTGGCAGCTTCACCAAAATACTTATTTAGAATATAACATGCATATTCAGATGCCGTGTCTGACATTTAAAAATTATTGGTCTGTCCCTAAAACAAAGAAAACTCGAGATCATGATGTATATAAAATATATTTGTGATGTACTTAAATATATAAAAAGTTAACCAGTTAGAAAATCTTGAGCTAAGAGACGCGTTATTATGGATTGTAATTAGCTGCACATATTGTTTACTTTTTATATGAATACATACAAACATATTGTTCGACGATCGGGCCGATGACGTCCAAAAATGATGCACGTCGAACCCTTATAAACATTAAGGTTGAAGTATAAAATTATGAGTGACTTATACCTGAAAACCTATAAAAAACGTTGTGCAGAATGAAATACATAATTGAACCATCAAGACTAATTATAGCGTGACGATATGAGAGTACGTCTCATCCCCAATAATTCTTCGACTAGTCAAAAATAACTAGTTGGCTAGATTTAATTAGTTGGGACACTATCCCGTAGGTTCATAATGCTACACTCTAAATATAATAAAATCAAATGGAAACGTAATGGTACCGAGAGCTTAGGGTTAGAATAACATGTACTGCAAGATTAAATGTGAATTCACATGTCCCCATGATCAAATGGCTAATGATTTATGTTTAAACGGAGAGTTGATTAGCATTACTTAAGCACTGATCACGGATCTGAAAAATAAAACTAGTTTACTTTATAAATAGCTACTTTGAGTAAATAGTCATCTTTGAGTTATCCAATGTAAATACTCGGATGGGTCAGGATATTTATCATCGCATGTTTCAAGTCCCTGCTTACGGTGATTGTAGCACAGACTGGAATTTTCTTAGTCTCCTCCTAAACGTCAGCGTGGTGGTTATGAAAAATGGCTCCAACTTCTAAAGAATTGAACTTCACTAAGATGAAAAACATTAAGCTGCTATTTCCGACTCTACGATTCCAATTGTTTGCTGCAACTATAAAGTGAATCACTAATTCTTGACTAGTACCTTTTACTAAGTATACAGAGGAATTGTTAGATGTGGTGGACAAAACACTAACCAGGATTAGTGAGGAGCAGTACACAACAAACAATTTTTTTCAAACAGTAGCAATGATTTTGAGCAACGTTCAGCTACTTGTGGGAAAAAGATCGGTCTTCATAGCTCCCTTTAAATGGACACCAAGAAATTCATCTAGGCGTGCTTTACATAAAATATCTGGCAAGACACCTGTGGTATTTCAGTACACAAAAAAGGGAAAAGCAAGAAGCAAAAAAAAACAATTGTTCACAACCGTCACGAATGATGGGTTTGAGACTTTGGGAGTTAGTAGAACGATGGCGAAAAAACAGACCACTGACTCAGTCATGTTGGGCAACTTCAGTGATTCACATAATTTGTGATATAACTGAGAGGATCATTGTGACAATAGGAGTAGATATGCACTGAGTGCAGAAACAAACAACCGTAATCGCTACCCTGATAAGAAGACTAAGATAATCAACCAATTCAATGTGATAAGCGCTCACTCTGGTATCCCACTAATTTCTTACGAATTTGGTGATTACGTATTTTAGTACAATATTCTGTTGTATTGTGATAGCAACATTTGGAAGTTGGACCTAATCATATACCACAGGTCACTGCCATCGACTGTTCATGATTACGTAGTTGAAAATCCTGTTATAACTGATCATCCACCCCCACCAATGTAAGTTCCAAGACCATAGCTTCCTTAATTATTCCATCTCGAAAACAGCTAATCGAAACCAATCATATTTAGGACTGTTACATGAATTGAACGATCAAATCTTTGTTCTTCTTATCCTGACTTGTGAGGGAGCTACTTGCAATTTTCAGGTTTTAATATAGACTTCGGACATCCAAACAACATAGTTTCCATCAGCGATGAGGCTGAGTGCCAATATTAGGAGTAAAGTAACAGGCGAATTTCGACTGATGAGATCGTAAACTATGATCGACTGAAGTACCATAGATGCATTGAGCATCATTTAATAGATTAAACGAATATTGATTGGAGAAGTACAATGAAATTACTTGCGTAATAAGCATAACTTACTGACGTCAGTAAGGCATAAGCTGACATCAGTTAAAGTCAGGTAAATAAATCAGGTCTTTGAAGATCTGAAAATCAGCTTAACCTGTATGTCTACTTCTTTAACTTGCTGTTTTTGCAACCTGAAGTAGTGTCCGTCAAGACTGTCCACTTTTTCCATTTTCGTTTAACTTCATCATAGACCTACTGATGGAAATAATGTTTTCGCCGACTGGATTCTCGGGCATTGATCTCCTTCCAGGAGGTCCACCTATCGACTTAGAATACGCAGATGACATAGTCCTGTTTGGTGAAGACGCTGATAAAATGAAGTCTTTTGGTAACACTGAGCGATAATGCCAGAATGTTTGGAATGCGCTTCTCTCCCTCTAAATGCAAGTTGTTGCTCCAGGACTGGTCTGTGTCAACACCTGAACTAAGGATAGGGAATGAAGTAGTCGAACGCGTTGACAACTTCACTTATCTTGGAAGTCTGATCAGCCCTAACGGGTCGGTGTCTGGCGAAATCTCAGAATGGATTCGAAAAGCTCATTTAGCTTTTGCCAACTTACGTCACTTATGGCGAAGGCGGGATATCCGTCTATCAAATAAAAGGACAAGTATACTGCGCGGCAGTTCGTTCTGTTCTATTTTACGGCTGCGAAACGTGGCCATCAAGAGTTGGAGATACTCGTAAGCTACTGGCATTTGACCACAGATGTCTTAAAAATATTGCTTGCCTCTTCTGTGATCACCGGGTAAGTAATAGTGAGGTTAGACGTGTAGGGTATTAGGGAATGATGGTGAATCAGTTGATGAGGTTGTAAATCTTCATCGGCTGAAGTGGTTGGGCCACTTGTTGCGTATGCCTGAACACCGATTACCACAACGCGCAATGCTAACCGGTGTTGGGGATGGCTGGAAGATCGTTAGGGGCGGCCAAACCAAAACGTAGCATCAGTGCTTGAAGTTACTAACTTCTGGTCTGAGCCATGTTAGTAGATGCAGACTACTCGGTTGGGGTCCGTGTGAATATCGTAACCAATGGTTTGAGACTCTGAGTGATATGGCTCAGAATAGATCACAAAGGCGTCGGTGTGTGCACTCTCTGTCTTCCCTTAAGCTAAGAGATTAAAATCGCTTCATATCTTTCTTTCTACAAACTAATTCTTTTGTTCTGTACTATGTCCTTATATGCAATATTTCTTTTATATATTACCACCACTGAATTAACTACTTCTATGAATCCGATGTTCATCTTGTTGTGCCGATGAGATATGGCAGCTTGGACCGATGCACATATGTGCATAGTCCTACGTTGTAGCTGACTGATTGCCGTAAATTGCTAGTCCTCAATATAATACTGCTGTTCATAACACCACAATCAAAAACCTTTTGTTCCTTATCCTTATTTGCGTCTTACACGCTTAGATTTCAATTCCTTGAGCGTGACTATTAAAACCATCATGGGCTGCAAGTACAACTGAATAGAATACTCTATTCAGTTGTTACATATGTAACGACTTGAAGCAATGAAACTTTTCCAAACCCTTCAAGAAGTAAAATTAAAAGAAATTTCGATGAGGATAAATGTAGAACTTTCATTGAAAAATAAAGTGCAAAAAGTACATAGGCTATTCTTATATAAAAATCGATGCACTTATTAACATTATTGAAGAGATAACAACACCATTATGGTCAGGATTCAGCCTGAGCAGTGAATGATAAAAACTCGGATTTAAAATGAGAAATAAAAAGGAAAAAGATAGCCTGTATTCTGACAAGAACTTGAAACAGACCCACGCGAAAAAACACCGCAGCAATCTAAATTCACCGCAAATTCCAATGTTTTCTGTTAACAATTTTCGAAAGACGGGTGTGTGGACTCTTGATGTTCGTATTGGTTGCAGAATACCTCAAATATCCTTACATTCTTTTATTGTACATACCGAATGAACTCTTTCCATTAAATGACACAAAACAATCCGCTCATCGACGTTTTTCTCCATTTTTTTCAGATGGATTCTGTTTTATCCTTTTCCACAGTAGGTTCTTACTGATGGTATCCGGTCAACGGACATCCAGTATCTTACGTAGACAACTATTTATAAATACTTTTACCTTCTTTATGATGGTTGTAGTAGTTCCACAACTTTCGCCTCCGTACAGTTGAACTGTCTTTTCGTTCGTATTGAAGATTATGATTTCGATATTGGTCGACAGTTGTTTCCAGTTCCGTATGCTATTCAAGTGTAGGAATTCTGTCCGTAACCAGTGGAGCTCAATCTATGTCGGTTAGAGACAGGTATCCACCTCAGTCAATGGACGAATGGTTGCGTAGTCATTCATAGATCGATGGAAGTTAGATATTAACACCGCTGGATGCCGGCTCAGTGCTCTAGAGGTTAAGTGTTCGCGCGCGAAACACCCATCTATTGCTTCCAGGTTTCCAACGGCTGTCTAACATCCATCGATTCATGATCTCAGTCAGAAAATAGTAATTGTTGAAAAGAGGGAATATCAATCGATTATCATGTATATGCCCATGTATCATGTTGTAAGTTATGAAATCTAATTGGACAGCTTTTATATTGATATTTGCACGAGTACCGCAAAACTAAGAAGAAGTTTGGCATGTTGAGACCTACTGTTGCAGAGTCTCCCACTACAGTGATTGTCTTCACCTGCATTTGCTCATGTGAATGGAATGGAAGAGCTAGGTGATTTGTGAAGTTCAGAACGTATAGTTGATCATGAGCTGTCCATTATATTCCGTGTTCCGCCCCCCCCCGCCCACAGATGTCGAGGTTTTCATAATCCAGTCAACCACCACAAAAAATACAAAACGGTGAGAGTAAATAGCCTTGTATGACTCCAGTCCTCACTTCGGATGAGTCTATCTGCTGTCCTCCATGCACGACGTCGCAGTGTAGTCTGTCATATGAATTCCGGATGATGTTGACGATTTTCTCAAGTAGTCCATAGTGTCGGACAAGGTTCCATAAAGTCCTCCTATCCACACTGTTAATTTCTTTTTCATAGTCAAAGAAGTTGATGTATAGTGGTGAGTTCCATTCAAGTGATTGTTCAACAATGATCCGTATTGTCGCGATTTGATCTGTACATGACCGAGCCTTACGGAATCCAACCTACCGATTTCGAAGCTGGACGCCTACTGATTCTTCCGGTTCGACAACACTCTTTTGAAAACCTTTCCAGGTACCGATAGTAGTTTTATTCCTCTGTAGTTCTCACATTTTCTCAGATCTACTTCTTTTGATATTTTCATGAGGTGTCCTTCTTTCCAGTCTGTCGACATTTGTTCCTCCTCCCAAATCTTGAGTAGAATGCGGAGCATGTTTGCAGTTACTTCTACGTCTAACTAGTGTGCTTTAGCTGGCATATTGTCAGGTCCTGCTGGTTTACAACTCGTGATTTGTTTGATGGTTGTCCTGATTTCTTCGATCGTTGGTGCAGCGACAACCATAATGTCTGCAGGTTTTGCTTCGACTTCCGGTGGATTCAATAGATCTGGTCTATTCAAGAGTTCTTCAAAGTGTTTCACCCATCTGTTCCTTTGTTCTTGGATCGGCTTGCCTTCTTTGTCCCCGACTGGTCTTCCTTGTTTGTATATTTTCTTTCCAGATTCTTCGTCGTGTCACGTAGTTGTTTCATATTTCCTTCTCTTGCAGCCTTTTAAGCTGTCGTTGCTAGCTCTCCCATGTATTCCTGCCTGTCAGGTATAATGCTACTCTTCACTTGCCTGTTTGCTATTGTGTTTTCACATCAGGCCTTCCATCAGGTACTTGGGTCTTTTCCTGGCCACTCCTCTATGATCGATCGCAACTTCTCGTAGAACTGATCCTCACTGTCATCTCTGATATCATTGGTGGATGTGTAGAATTTATGGTCTACCATGATATCAGTACTGTTTTAATAATAGACCTAATCCTAAATTTGTAGATTTGTCATGATATAACTGCCTAATCCATAAGATCTTACGTGGAAGTCACACCATCGACTACACCAACTCACTGTATCGTATCAATTACCAATACATGATGTAGAACAAGGTTAGGCTAGAGAAAGAACAATATATTTAATATGAATAGAAGATATAAAGTAACATTCGGCAGAGACCACGCCTGCATGGCCGAGCCATGCCATCCGATCAACTCCAGTCCATTCAATTAATTCTCCGCGCCTTCTCCATTGTTAGGTATTTCCCCGAGTTAAATATTGAATATCTATTTTCTGAGTAGTCTCGTGTTCACAGCTTTGTGGATTGTGTGGCTATTGTCCAATGCCACTACAGATGCATAACACAGGATAACCTCCATTGTGATTTTCTTTATCTTTGTTTTGAAGAATGTTTTGATGATCCTGGATCCGTGAGATTCCTATCTAATAAGTGCTTCTTTGGACAGCAGCAGAACATTTACATGAGTGTGTTGAGCATCTTTGTCTTCATGAATGAAGCACAACAGCATCTCTCCTGTGTCTACCTTTTGCTGTGCAGTTTGATTCTAATGTGTTCCATTGATTCTTCGAAGCTTCATGTTGTATATCCTCATTTCTGTTGCTATTTGATTGGTCTTTTCAGTTTATCATATTTCCCGGACGTTCCACGTACCCATAAAAATTGTTGCCTTGGTTGTTATAAGGAGCATCAGTCTCGTGACTCCCGAAGAATCTCTGCTATCTTCATGATGCGTCACAATTTTTCCGTCAACTCCCATAGCAGAGCTTAAATGGTTTGATTCATTTTTTCTGGTTAGCGTTCCTTTTTAGTAGGGTCGTTTTGCACGGAACGGGGATGCTGACTGTTATATTCTTATGAAGATTACATTACGAGTTACGTCTGAGACCTATTAATGGACTAATATTATGTATAAATTCTTATGGTATGCATATTCAGTAACTAGGTTATGTATACCTACATTTCCCTTGTTGTGAGCTTTGTTTTCACTTATAAATTATTTTTGTACGATTTACTGTTCTTAAGCTATGTTCAGTTTATTGGCTACTGCCTCCCACGTTCACAGCCACGTTTTTGGCTTTAT